GTAAACACAGCCACAGTGTATGTGACATCCTCCTATCCTTTTGTATAGATAACTGTACGTCATACATCATCAGAAACCACATATGCATGTATATGATGATGAATTTAGTGTGCGGTCTGCAAAGTGCCAACAGCTTCCATTACTTGTTAGCATTAGCCTCACAGCTTCAAGGCAAAAATGAAGAAACTGAGCCACTACATTCGGGGATGAAGGTGGGGAACTGTTTAAAATTATTTTTTTAAAAGTGAAGCCAAAGCCTGTCCAATAAAAGAAGAGCTCAGGGACGATCCCACTGGGCAATCCTCTCTTTGGGCTTTAATTATATAGGTTAGTGAGCAGTACTCTGCTTTGTGAGACCCCGGTGTCTGAAAATGGTGGTCACATGACAACAGGTTTTCTCCTGACTAACACGCTGTACTGGTACGACCACATACACGGTCTTTTTGTTACTGTAAACTTGGTTAATCAGGGCAACACAGGAGCGAATCCACCATAACAGTTCTACTGCAGGATCAATGCAGGTGTGTTGGAAGTAACTCAAATCGTTGCACTGATTCAATCAATCATTACATATTGTTCTACGTAGAACCATGAACACTCAAAGAAACCTTTACCTGATTAAAGGGCTCTCTGCATGGTGAAATGGCTCTTTACACTGACGGTTAATGTCTTGTGTTTGGTCCCATATGGCACCAAAAAGTGTTCAACTGTTATGATGTCAAGTTTGTAACAAAAGCGGAACCCGTTATTGGTACTATATAGAACCCTTCTATACAGAACCATCTACAACACATTCTCCATCAATCTGAAGAACTCTTTCACGATACGAAGAACCGTTTAGGTACGCAAAGGGTTAATGAGTGTTTGAGTATTCTTTACTAAAGAACCATTGAAGAACCAAAACATACCAAAGTCCACTCCTACAAAACCAGACACTCCCACCAAACCAGAGTCCACTTCATTTACCAGTTTGGCTATCTAGCACTGCCATTCCTCTTCACACTACAATGGGACACGAGGGCCCAATCCCATTTCACCCCTCGCCCCTACCACTGAGCACTTAGCCCTCTGTTTTGCACGTTCACATCTAGAGGTAGGGTGTCCCAATTTTTGTTGAGATAGAGGGGTAGGGCGAAGTGTTAGGGCTACATGACCCTCCAAACGGAGGTTTTTCAGAGACTCCAAACGGAGAGTTATGAGAAAAAAAAGAAAAACTGGTAAGATGGCTGAACAAGAGACCAAAGAAACACACAAATGTGAGAATTTTCTCCGTTAGAAATCACGATAACTACTGTATTATCTTAGTTTAATGTCGTTTCAGTGTATTATGGTCGTTTTCCTCAAAACAAGCATAAAAAATCTCTAATAGTATGCTAATGTCTCTGTAGCTAGCTAGCTAACTTTCCTTTTCCACCTTAAATAGTCCAGCAGTTCTGACACCTGAAGCACCAGAATGTAACTGCTGCACCATTTAAGGTGGAACAGGAAAATTCTGGTGAATATCTGACTTCACCTTTGTATAACCAAAGAATTAGCGGTGGACGATAATAAATAATTGCCCCCCTCTTTAAAGTCATATGATGCCCTAAATGTAACTAAAGCCCAGCAGTGAGGAGCTGAACTTTACCCTCCTCTGCTGTCAGACTGGCAGGGTCGCCTACAGAGCAGCGCTAGTAGCTGTTAATGAAGTAGTGTTTTTTATTTAAGGGTCCCATTTCATAGAGGAAGATTTCAACCACTACCCCTTGTAACTCAGTTCCAAGGGGCAAGGAGACACTCAAAAATAAGGGGTAGGGTAAAAAGAAGAAATGGGACTGGGTCTAGGAACGAATGATTTGGGAAAATCTCTAATTGACTCATATTACCAGTGCGATTTATATAAATTCGGCTGTTTTTCAGCAAGAAAAGCATGTAGAACGCCAGACTGCCAGTTCACAAGCTCTGCTTAAACAGGTTAAACAATTGTAGCTCTTGTGACTCGAAAATTCTGATATAACATTGATTAAACCATTCTTCCCTACATAACACATATTCAAATATGGCCACTAAGAGGGCACAATATGGCAAACATACTAGCATTGCGACTGTAATGCTGCAACTCTTGCAACATTAAAAACACATGGGTGAATCAGTAATGCAACAAGGTTAAAGCCTGGCATGCATTATTTTTACCAATATAATTTACTTTTGTTGGATAATGAACACTGAATTCATAAGAACACCCACAAAAACTCTTAGCGCGCAGTAAAACATACAGTGATTGGTTATCGGGCTCATTTGCGTACTGAATCCTTCCGCATCAGTACGGCCAATATCGCAATAACAATGACAAATGATATTGCAGAGATGACATAATACCACTTTTTCCTTTTCCATTACTGATAACGATATTGCACCCTTTTAGTATCGGCCAGTACCAACACAACATTTCTTCTTTAAAAACTACTACACTTTAAAATGGGCCATTTTTAAGGAAGCACTTCGCTTAAGATAAGAATCTGAAAGCTATCAGACTGAAACTACTCAATCATTACTATCTCACAGGAAGGGCTACACAGTTAACAACAACACAAAGTGTGGGCAAAGTGATATTTCAGGGCAGATTTGTTACAGTACTGGATCACATCCCGATTCAGTACTGACGCCTATCAATATAGATACCCCACCTCTAATACACTGTGCCCTCTATCCAAACTTCAGTGCACTTGTGTAGCAATCCAACTATCTGACATTATGTGGCTATGACAACACCACATAAACTCTGCCACACATTTCAACTATTTGACAGCACTGGAGTTTTGCCATCACAATACTGCCGCAACCAAGCACTCCCACCAAACCACAGTGCACTAATGTACCAATAAAGCTGTCTAGCACTGTCCAAGAGAGGCCTGGTCATTCTTCTTCATACTATAACACCAAACATGGATAATTACAGGTCAGTAATAGGGCTGAACAGTTTGGGGAAAATATCAAACCTTGACTTTTCTGACAAACAATGATAACTTGCGATTATGTTCTGTAGATTAATGTTCAGGCCTGTTTTTTTGGCCAAGAAGACCAGAAAATCCTCTTTTTTCTGGCTTGAGGCTTGAACCCTGAATGTAGTGCGCCAGACTGCCAGGAAGTTGTGGTCGTGATGTCACAACACATGGAGGTTTCGCTGCCTCGGATTGATCCGACTCATCTACAGGCACTACATAAGCTCTGTATTATAAGGCAACGTTGTTGATAATGTAAACTATAGTTAAAACCACTGCGGCTTTTGGGATCCAAACGTATCCAGGCGCCCTTTCTAACCTGTGAACTGTGTGGGACTATCCACACCCAGCTTGTACAACTTCCATAGAAAAGCTCTGCCAATGCAATGGGACCGCACACATGCCTAACATCACCAAGTCCAATGCCAAGCGTTGGCTAGAGGGGTGTAAAGCCCCCCACTGTTAGGCTGTGGAGTGACGGAGCTCCATCCAATACCTTTGGTATGACTCGGAGTGATCTAGAACCGATCTTACCAATGCTTGTGTGGCTGAATGCCATCAAATCCTCAGAGCAATGTTCCAACATCCAATGTAAAGCCTTCCCAGAAGAGTTCCTGAGCGAAGGAGACAGGCTCCCCATTAACACCCTCGACTTCAAAGGAAAAGCTGAACAAGAAAGTGCCTGCAAACTTCTCAACATGAGGGGCTCGTTTTGTAGGCCACGGCTGCTCCAGCAGGTGTACCGGGGTCGTGTTAGTAAACGTAGCCTCGGTGGGGGCCCAAAACACCGCATACAGGACGGAGAGATGAGCTCAGAAGAAGGGCGTAAGCACTCCTCCGAGAAGAGATGCGGCTTTGTCAGGAAAAGAGCCAAAAACTGTTCTGGAAAAGTCACAGAAACCTAAGTGGAAGCTGTCGATACTAAGGCCTACAGAGGTCAGGAAGAAACCAACACCATCTAACGTTGCGGTGCTGCTCTGACACTTTTCTGACTTCCTTTGCTAACTACGTAAAAAACGCACCTTGGCAGTAAGACAGTTTCACCAGTGAGACAGAAACTAGCACATCTGGGTTGTCAGCTGGCTAGAAAAACAGCTACATCCAGTTAAAAAGCGAGAGCTCAGTTCCCCACAAGCCTGTTTTGATAGTCAACATAGGTTAGCAGGCTAACGTTCGCTGGCTAAAGGCGCCTCACAATTAGCCTACTAGCCATTAATATTTATTTTCGTGTTGGCCGTCGGACAAAAACAAGTCGGTTTATTTTAACAACCCCTTTACAGAGACACCACGACAGCCACTTCATTTCCCAGCCAGGATTTACATAAAAAGCTACGGCTGGTTAAGCAAATCTCTCGGCTAGTAAAACTACCGTTAGCCACCCTTTTTTAGCCTTAGCTTAGCTCGCTAGTGTTAGCCGGGTTTGCTAACGTTACTCGGCCGAACGAGCCTGAGATAAAAACACGGTAAAATGCTGCGGCGGTTCAAACAGATATTAACAATTCCCCGTTTAAATAAACGCCTCGTTTTCTGCTTTATAATTCCTGTCACCGCGGCAAAAGGAGCCACATACACAAAGCAGGGAGTCTCCGGTTCGGTTCGCTCTCCCGCAGCAGGGCCTCTGTCTCTCTGTCTATCGCGCTCCTCCAGCAGCTGTCACCACGAACCAGCGCTCCGGCCGCGGCGGGGGGAGAGCGCAGCTCAGGTCGGGCGAGGCGGCGCCAAAGCCGGACACTGCGCTTCGCTGTCCCCGCTGTCAGGGTGCGACTACTCCCGGGACCAGATCCCCTGCTTTCTGCGCTTTACTGTCTCCAAGGGCCAATTTCGGGAAGGCTCGATGGCTTTTTTCTCTCGGTAGCCAACAGAACAACGTTACGCGAAACAGAAAACACTTTCTCTCCACCACACACACACACACACACACACATACATATATATATATATATATATATATATATATATATATTTATATATATATATATAGCTATGTATACATACACTCACTCACTCACACTCACACACCAGAGCGGAGCGGCCATTCCGGGGCCGAACAAAAGAGCCCTCCAAACCTCCACACCGTGGTCACGGAGAGCACCGGCGGGGGGGTGGGCGGTTTGGTTGACCCCCTCCTCCTACTGCTCCAGCTCCTTCTCCGTTAATGTGTGTCAGCGTCTTTCGTACCGATCAACAACCGTGAAACGCACAGAAAGCCCAGCGATCAGGCTGCGTTACCTTCCGAGGTATTACTCCGCCATCCCCGCCGCTGCTTCCTCCTCCTCCTCCACCTCCTTCTCTCCGCTCCGCCGCCGCTCGTGCTGCTGCCGCTGCGGCGCGCGCCCCGCCCCGCCCCTGCCGTCCTCGTTGCGTCACACGCACCGAACCACACGCACGCGCCGCCGCCGATGCATCGCGAGACGTCGCGAGCACGGACGCGGCGAGTTCGAAAGCGCCGGACACATTTACTTTCACACATTCTGTACGGTTATTACATACTCTACACTCAGTTATTACATACTCTACACTCAGTTATTACATACTCTACACACAGTTATTACATACTCTGCACTCGTTTATTACATACTCTACACTCATTTATTGTATACTCTACACTCAGTTATTACATACTCTACACTCATTTATTACATACTCTACACTCATTTATTACATACTCTACACTCGTTTATTACATACTCTACACAGTTATTACATACTCTACACTCGTTTATTACATACTCTACACTCAGTTTATTACATACTCTACACACAGTTATTACATACTCTACACTCAGTTATTACATACTCTACACTCGTTTATTACATACTCTACACTCATTTATTACATACTCTACACACAGTTATTACATACTCTACACTCATTTATTACATACTCTACACTCAGTTATTACATACTCTACACTCGTTTATTACATACTCTACACTCATTTATTACATACTCTACACTCGTTTATTACATATTCTACACAGTTATTACATACTCTACACTCGTTTATTACATACTTTAAACAGTTGTTACATACTCTACACTCATTTATTACATACTCTACACAGTTCTTACATATTCTACACTCATTTATTACTTACTCTACACTTATTTAATACATACTCTACACAGTTATAACATACTCTACACTTATTTACTACGTACTCTTCACACAGTTATTACATACGCTACACTCATTTATTATATACTCTACACACAGTTATTACATACTCTACACACAGTTATTACATACTCTACACACAGTTATTACATATTCTACACTCATTTATTATATACTCTACACACAGTTATTACATACTCTACACTCGTTTATTACATACTCTACACTCATTTATTATATACTCTACACACAGTTATTACATACTCTACACTTATTTATTGCATAGTCTACACAGTTATTACATATTCTACACTCATTTATTATATACTCTACACACAGTTATTACATATTCTACACTCATTTATTATATACTCTACACACAGTTATTACATACTCTACACTCGTTTATTACATACTCTACACTCATTTATTATATACTCTACACTCGTTTATTACATACTCTACACAGTTGTTACATACTCTACACTCGTTTATTACATACTCTACACTCATTTATTACATACTCTACACACATTTATTACATACTCTACACTCGTTTATTACATACTCTACACAGTTGTTACATACTCTACACTCGTTTATTACATACTCTACACTTATTTAATACATACTCTACACAGTTATTACATACTCTACACTCATTTATTACATACTCTACACACAGTTATTACATACTCTACACTCATTTACTACGTACTCTTCACACAGTTATTACATACTCTACACTTATTTAATACATACTCTACACATAGTTATTACATACTCTACACTCATTTATTGCATAGTCTACACAGTTATTACATACTCTACACTCATTTATTACATACTCTACACATAGTTATTACATACTCTACACTCATTTACTACGTACTCTACACACAGTTATTACCTCACAATAACTTACTCCACACAGTTATAACATACTCTACACTTATTTATTGCATACTCTACACACAGTTATTACATACTCTACACTCATTTATTACATATTCTACACACAGTTATTACATATTCTACACTCATTTATTACATACTCTACACACAGTTATTACTTCACAATTACTTACTCTACACAGTTATTACATACTCTACATTCATTTATTACATACTCTACACACAGTTATTACCTCACAATTACTTACTCTATACAGTTATTACATACTCTACACTCATTTATTACATACTCTACACACAGTTATAACATACTCTACACTCATTTATTACATACTCTGCACACAGTTATCACATACTCTACACTCATTTATTACATACTCTGCAGTTATTACATACTTTACACTCGTTTATTACATACTCTGCACACAGTTATCACATACTCTACACTCATTTATTACATACTCTGCACAGTTATTACATACTCTACACACAGTAATTACATACTCTACACACGGTTATTACATACTCTACACACAGTTATTAGAATACTCCACACAGTTATTACATACTCTACACTCATTTATTACATACTCTACACTCAGTTATTACATACGCCACACAGTTATTACATACTCTACACTCATTTATTACATACTCTACACACAGTTATTACGTACTCCACACAGTTATTACATACTCTACACTCATTTATTACATACTCTACACTCATTTATTCCATACTCTACACACAGTTATTACGTACTCCACACAGTTATTACATACTCTACACTCATTTATTACATACTCTGCACACAGTTATTACATACTCTACACTCATTTATTACATACTCTGCACAGTTATTACATACTTTACACTCGTTTATTACATACTCTGCACACAGTTATCACATACTTTACACTCATTTATTACATACTCTGCACAGTTATTACATACTGTACACACAGTTATTACATACTCTACACACGGTTATTACATACTCTACACACAGTTATTACATACTCCACACAGTTATTACATACTCTACACTCATTTATTACATACTCTACACACAGTTATTACGTACTCCACACAGTTATTACATACTCTACACTCATTTATTACGTACTCTACACACAGTTATTACGTACTCCACACAGTTATTACATACTCTACACTCATTTATTCCATACTCTGCACACAGTTATCACATACTTTACACTCATTTATTACATACTCTGCACAGTTATTACATACTGTACACACAGTAATTACATACTCTACACACGGTTATTACATACTCTACACACAGTTATTAGAATACTCCACACAGTTATTACATACTCTACACTCGTTTATTACATACTCTACACTCAGTTATTACATACTCCACACAGTTATTACATACTCTACACTCATTTATTACATACTCTACACACAGTTATTACGTACTCCACACAGTTATTACATACTCTACACTCATTTATTACATACTCTACACACAGTTATTACGTACTCCACACAGTTATTACATACTCTACACTCATTTATTACATACTCTGCACACAGTTATTACATACTCTACACTCATTTATTACATACTCTGCACAGTTATTACATACTTTACACTCGTTTATTACATACTCTGCACACAGTTATCACATACTTTACACTCATTTATTACATACTCTGCACAGTTATTACATACTGTACACACAGTTATTACATACTCTACACACGGTTATTACATACTCTACACACAGTTATTACATACTCCACACAGTTATTACATACTCTACACTCATTTATTACATACTCTACACACAGTTATTACATACTCCACACAGTTATTACATACTCTACACTCATTTATTACATACTCTACACACAGTTATTACGTACTCCACACAGTTATTACATACTCTACACTCATTTATTACATACTCTACACACAGTTATTACGTACTCCACACAGTTATTACATACTCTACACTCATTTATTACATACTCTAACACACAGTTTTTACGTACTCCACACAGTTATTACATACTCTACACTCATTTATTACATACTCTACACACAGTTATTACGTACTCCACACAGTTATTACATACTCTACACTCATTTATTACATACTCTACACTCATTTATTACATACTCCACACACAGTTATTACGTACTCCACACAGTTATTACATACTCTACACTCATTTATTACATACTCTGCACACAGTTATTACATACTCTACACTCATTTATTACATACTCTGCACAGTTATTACATACTTTACACTCATTTATTACATACTCTGCACAGTTATTAAATACTGTACACACAGTTATTACATACTCTACACACAGTTATTACATACTCCACACAGTTATTACATACTCTACACTCATTTATTACATACTCTACACACAGTTATTACGTACTCCACACAGTTATTACATACTCTACACTCATTTATTACATACTCTACACACAGTTATTACGTACTCCACACAGTTATTACATACTCTACACTCATTTATTACATACTCTACACTCATTTATTACATATTCAAGTTTCTAGGTTATTTGTTATTTGCACAACAAGTCAGGACATTTATGCATTGAAATACTTGTGTTGAGGCTCAGCTGATCACTCTACAGATAGTAAACAAAGTAAAAATAAAAATACAAGAAAATTGAAAACTGAAATATATTAAATATATACAAGATATAAACAAAACATACACAAAATATAGAGACCATACATTTTAAAGTGACTTAAGTGACTCAGTGTTGTTGTTATTTAAAGTGACTTGGTGTTAAGGTGTTCTTGTCCATATCAGAGATATGATATAATAATAATGCTGACAGAGTGACTGAGTGAGATGGTAGTTGGTGAAGGACCCACAGCTTCACAGCTTGTTCAGAAGCCTGACAGCCTGTGGGTAGAAGCTGTTCATTAACCGGGTTGTTCCAGCCTGTATGCTGCGGAATCTCCCGCCTTATGGTAGGATGGTGAACAGGCCGTGTGCTGGGTGACGCTGTCTGACCGGATCTTTTTGATCTTCCTGATGCAGCGGGACTGGTAGACGTCCTGTAAGGCTGGTAGTTTGTTGCCTATGACGGCTTCTGTTGTTTTCACCACTCCTTTAAGGGCCTGGTGGTCGCAGGCGGTGCAGCTGCTGTACCGGACAGTGATGCAGCCCATGATGATGCTCTCTACGGTGCCTCTGTAGAAGTTGGTGAGGATCTGAGGAGGCAGGCCAAACTCCCTTAACCTGCGCAGGAAGAAGAGACGCTGACGGGCAGATCTCACAATAGTGTTGGCATGGAGTGACCAGGTGAGGTCATCAGTGAGGTGTACTCCGAGAAACTTCACACTGCTGACTCTCTCCACTTCTCTCCACTGAGTGGTAGGGGTAAAAAGAAGAAATGGGATTGGGCCCAAATCCTGTGATCAGCTGTAATGTCCAGCATTGACCGTTGGGGGTCAGAAGCGGTTCGCTGGCTGAGGGTTTCAGCGGCTGTGAGAGCAGAAGGAGAGAAGCGCCACTGCAGCGGATAAACAGCTCTGGAGGTAAAAACGCTCGGTGCCGTTTATATTTACGGTTCTTTAACACGGCCGTCACCACTACACGCTCCGCTCACAGCAGTGCAGCGCTGCGGCTGTTCCGCCGCGTGAAACAGAGGCGATGTGGTTTCATGAGGACCTGAATCTGTAGGAGAGCCGTTAGTGCGGTTACTATGGAGATCAGAGCAGATTAGCCTGCTGTGGAGATCCGCACGAGCCTTCAGGTCGATATTACTGTCGATATCTCAAATCTTAGTTACTACAGGACGATGCGATACGTCCTGTCGGTAACTTACGATTGATGTGATCGATTAGATCAGATTCCTCTAGATTAGTGGGTTAATATATGATCAGTGTGATCAATTAGATTCGATTTGATCAGATTCCTCTCATTATGTTACTGCACAACCTATATGATTGATCAGATTCGTTTCATTAAGTTAATATGTGATCCATATGACAGATTAGATTCCTCTCAGTAATTAATGTGATCCATATGATTGATTAGATTCCTCTCAGCAAGTTGATATACGATCCATGCGATTGATTAGATTCCTCTCAGCAAGTTAATATATAATCCATACGATTGATTAGATTCCTCTTAGCAAGTTGATATACGATCCATACAATTGATTAGATTCCTCTTAGCAAGTTGATTTACGATCCCTACAATTGATTAGATTCCTCTCATTAAGTTAATGTACGATCCATACGATTGATTAGATTCCTTTCAGTAAGTTAATATACGATCCATACGATTGATTAGATTCCCCTCAGTAAGTTAATATATTATCCATATGATTGATTAGATTCCTCTCAGTAAGTTAATATATGATCCATACGATTGATTAGATTCCTCTCAGTAAGTTAATATATGATCCATATGATTGGTTAGATTCCTCTTAGTAAGTTCATATATCATCCATATGATTGATTAGATTCCCCTCAGTAAGTAAACATATGATCCATATGATTGATTAGATTCCCCTCAGTAAGTTAATATATGATCCATATGATTGATTAGATTGCTTTCAGTAAGTTAATATATGATCCATACGATTGATTAGATTCCCCTCAGTAAGTTAACATATGATCCATACGATTGATTAGATTCCTCTCAGTAAGTTAATATATGATCCATATGATTGATTAGATTCCCCTCAGTAAGTTAATGTATGATCCATACGATTGATTAGATTCCCCTCAGTAAGTTAACATATGATCCATACGATTGATTAGATTCCTCTCAGTAAGTTAATGTATGATCCATACGATTGATTAGATTCCCCTCAGTAAGTTAATGTATGATCCGTACTGCTGGCTGGCTGCAGTATGACGTGTAGCTCCACCCATCCCCATCACGTCATTATTCTGTCTGAACTGTCTTTCAGTCTACAGTGTCTGATTTGGACTGTTAGTTTTTCTTATGCTGATACTGTCATTTTTTATTTTCCTCAGAAATAGTTTTAACGTTATTCTGCTATATTGTAAGAAGGCGTGGTTACACCTGGGAATACACGTATTGACGTCAGTTGTGATAACATGAGCACCATCTCCAACTTAGTTAACACGACACGTGGTGTCTTTTACGTTGAAGTGACATGTTAACGATGTACAAATTGAGCGTCAGTGGTGTAGACGTAAAAACCATTAATAAAAAAGAGCTAACCAAGGGCCCACTTAAGTTTTGCCTGTGGGGAGTCAGCGTGTGGGCTAATCTTACCAGTAGGTTGCTAACATATCACTGTTGTCGGAAGAAAATCTTGTATCTCCAAAATGGTAACTTTACAGCAGAAGGAAAAAACATACTTTACTTCTAATGTAAGTCAATGGAACCAGACTTTTTTCCAAGTCATTTTGGGTCATTTCTTCTGGTCCATTCATCGTGAAATTTACACACAATGTAAAGGACAACAGGCATTTTCGAATGATGTAAAAAACTGAAAAACGACAAAAATGGAGATTTTCTTCCGTCAGCAGCGATATGTAACAGAACTTAAGCGTATGCAGCCTACCGTTAGCTAGCTTTATTTTCAGGCTATAGTCGGAACTATAAGCGGAATTTGTCATTAAATTTCGTGAGTTACGTGAGCTGCACTTTTATTGCTGATACATTTACACTTACTGGACAAACTGGATATCCAGGAAGAAAAGCCCCCTTTGCTTTTGCTGCTTTCAGGCTCTGTTTGCTAGATTTGCAAGTTCACTGAAGGCAGTCTGTAGCTGCGTCCCAATTCAGGGGCTGCATCCTTCGGAGGCTGCATTTGAAGGCCGATTGCGCCACAGCGGCGCGACTAGGCCAGGCCGTCCCATTTCGAAGACTCCTAAATATGCAGCTGAGAAATGTGTCCTTCCTTTCAGTGGCAACGAAGGGTCCAACGGGTGGATCCTTCGCCTGCAAAATATCCCGAGGTTCACTGCGAGCCGAGGATTCGAAACATGGTGGCGTCAGCAGAAGAGCGAATGGCAGATATGGAGCACAATGTTAAATATAAATACTGGGTGTAAACTGAGGCGAGTAGCTATTAAAATCCCAATCTCATCAGTCGCCGGCGGTGAAGCATCTCCAGCTCCAGTAAATGAAAACGTCTTTAAAGAACTTTAAAAGAACTTGACAGGAGCGGCGTTTCGGTAAGGGCGGGAACAGCGGTGCTGTGACGCAAACAGGAAACCTGCAGTAGAGCAGAGCGTCTCATTTCGGTTCAGCCTTCGTGGGTCTACACAGCTTTCGTAGACCGTATCCTTAGAAGGACGCAGCCCCTGAATTGGTACACACTGCGTGACATGCTTGACCTTGGTTTTGGGAGAAGGGGGCGGGTCTACCTGATTAATAGACGTATCTGACTTCAACTGTCGTCTCTACTGAGCAAACTGTGGTTCCAGATTTGACAATGGTGGAGGAATTTTGGCTTCTTTTCTATAGAACTTTTGCTAACTTACTGCAATGGCTAAGTTAATCACACACACACATTTTCTAAGCTGCCTATCCAGCAGGGGGTGCTGGAGCTTATCCCAGCAGTCATTGGGCAGGATGCAGGGTTAAAGCAGCACTATGTAATACTTAAGCAATAGAACATGAGAGGGAGGGTGTTATTGCAAAATAACATCACGGCTGTGATTTGGTTGCAGGCATGAGCCGAATATACAACAGTTAAATAAATAAAGTAATAAATTAATAAACTGGGCTGTGAACGCGGCGTTTAATATGTTTTAATGTTCGCAGTTCCTTCTGCCAAATCAAAGTTCTTTAACAAGCAGCTTGTTGCTACGTCAGAGTAACGAGCTCCGCCCACTCTGCTCAGTCTGCTGTAAGCTTCGCCTTTTGAAGTACAGGCTGAGCCATAAAACTGCCGCAATATCAAGTTCAGCTCAGTTTTGTGAGTTTCTGCCAGATCAGTATTAATGTTGTTTTGTTCCAGCCAGTCTGTAAAGCATCTTACAGCCCGTTTAGTTTGGCGAATGGTGTTGGGTTCATTTCTGGCTGATTCCAGGTTGTTTAGCTGTTCTTCTGTCTCAGCTGCCGACTGAAAAGCTGCTCAGTGGTGATGACAGTTTGGGAATTTAGTGTCGTCTCATCTTCAGAGTCTGACCAAATCGGCTGTCGGTCAAATGTAAAATCTTAAAAGTGTCCATTTTCTGTTTGTGGCAAAGTAAGAAGTGAAAACGTTCAGATGGCTTGAGCGTCTCCTACAGCTGTCAAAGTCGTTGCTTAGCAACGGCATCTCAGTGGAGTGATAGTGTTGGTGCAAAAAAACATGACGTTATGGTGAAATAACAGCAGTTAGACGCTTCTCAACCAATCAGCTTGCGTGGCCGGAACTAACTGTTGTATATTTTTGGTTAAAACTGAAAGTAGCAGAAGAAAATAAAACACTAAAATATGGTCAGCGCGCGCCGCTGAGAGACGCCTGAAATACTCATTTAAGTCCAGGACGGATTTGGAGCGGGTTTTTCAGATCACGTGATACGTCTTTGCGCATTAACGTCTCACGCACAGACTCAAAAAGAAGGTCTGGTTCGATGTTTATGTCTCTAATGTAAAATCAACAATATACTGATGAAGATATGATGACAATAGACTCATTCACAAAAGTCAGATTCATCTGCTTGTGGGGGTCCGAAGCACAACCGACGTTACTTGCACATCATGTGCAATTACATATTTCCACCAGAGAGGTCTCCAAATCCCCAAATCTGTGTGGCTTTAAAGGGGAATTCCTGCATTTTTTCAAAATTTCTGAATAATCCTTGAGATGTGAGTCATTCAGAGTGGTTTGATGTGAAGTGGTTCACTGTAGAGAAATGTACAGATCCAGGTTTCTTTACAGTGGTGGTGATAGGAACCAGGGGTCACAATGTCTGCAACACTAATACAGCAGTTTAATTTACTATCCAGAACCACCACTGAACCTACACAACCTCTGAGTTTTATGTGTAACGTTGATGATGGCAAAATAGTCGTAAATCTGACTATCCTCTGGGGACTATTTTGCCTCACAACACCCTGCATGTACCTCTTCCCCATTAATGGATTGAAATAATTGGATAAAAAAAAATTTTAAGCCAAAACATTTTCACCAAATGATCATAAAACAATGTGTCAGAGATCAGGCAGTGAGTTCATAACCATTTCATGTAATAACTTTCTGTGAGGGAGCTTTTAGAGGCGTTAAACTGATGTCTGGTTCCTATCACCACCACTGTGAACAGTTCTGACTCTGTAAGTTTCTCTAGAATGGATAATTTCAAATTAAACCACTCTGAGCGACTTTAACTGTGTAGAATTTTTGACAAAATGGATGGAGTTCCCCTTTAAAAGCTTGGGGTATCATTTTTATTAACCTCTTGTTCTCCAGGGTATATTTTGGTTTGTCCATCTGAATTTTCATGACCAAATCGTAAGGCAAATTATTCAGTAACTGCATGAAATAAATGTAATTTCTTATTTTATTTATTTATTTATTTATTTATTTATTTATAAAAGCTCCCTTCAAATGAACAGAACATGTTTTATGATCACACATATTGCTATATCCTTACAATTTACTGCTGAAAGCCAAAAATCTTAGTTGCTCTTTGTATTTTTTTATAAAAATAATTTTTTACAGGGCAGATCACTGAAGAGACGCCATCTGTTTATAGTTTATAGCCCAGATTTGTGGAAAAACGGGTCGACTTTCAGTAGACAAAAAAATTCAGCTTCTTTTATTATAAGGGTTTAAAATTACATCACCCATCTATTTGACTGGAAAGAAGACACTTACAGCTCTCATATGACCCCCACCTTTTAAATGTAGCTTATGAAATATGACAGTTATGAAGAATATGACGAAGTGCGTTTTGGAACCACTGGTGGTCTCAAGGAGTTGAAAAGGTTTTTAAAATCACTACTACTGTACAGATAAGCGGTTTAGATGATGGGTGGGGTGGGGGTACTACTGTACAGCATAAACATCTCACTAACTGTGGCAGTGTAACCACAGTACCCAGCTTTCAGATCAATTATTAACAGCCTTTTTCTTTCTTTCTTTGTTGAAAGGTTGGAGAAGCACGATGCCTGAGGTCAAGTCGATGTTCAGAGAGGTTCTGCCCAAACAAGGTAAACTGTTTCAGCGCAGTGTTACTGAGGTCTCTGTAAGTGTCTGTTCTGGTTTGTATTTACAGCTCGACACAGAGTTTATTACATGCCTCACTGTTTGTTCCGCTTCCTAATTCGACTGAAAGGGTGTACAGATCCATGAGTTTCATCCTTCTGATTTAACCCATGTTCTAGCCCAAATGGAGTCGGGCAGCCAAGAGATGTTTGGTGTCTGAAGTTTGATGCTTTAGTTTCAGTGCTGGACAGTAACAAAGTAAATATAAATAGTTGCTGTACTTAAGTAGTTTTTCATGTACTTTACTGAAGTTTTTCCATTTTGGGGCGATTTTTTACTTTCACTCCACTACATTTCAAAGTCAAATATCTTTTTACTCCTCTACATTCTGAGAAATCTGTCGTTCCTTTTGGTTTATGTGTGTATAAAAGCGTAACATGTCAAAATGAAAGAAGCGTGAAGCAAAAACACCAATCAGGGCACAGCGCACACTTTGTTTTGAGCTTGTTTTGACCTGTTGGTCATACTGACCCAGTGCAGCACACGGTTCAACATCAGTGCAGCAGCGTAAAATTTTGGGAGAGTCTATTCAACAAAAATGATGAACTAACCTAACTTTGTGTAAATAGACCACAATATAGAAATATGTACACATATGCAGTCGTGACTGACGTGTCTTTTTTCTGAATTTATACAAACACTTTTTCATTTTATAGTAAATTTGTTTTGGCTAGTTTATGTTTATGAACAGAGACCTACAGACGCAGTTTAGTAAAGGAAACTCATTTGTGAATCTGAGTTTAAAGTTTTTATTAAACTTAAACTTGTAACTGAGTGTAAATAAATCTCAAACTGAAACTTTGCTTGTTTGTATAAAGTGATTTCAGAGCCACTCAGTTCTACCTGATGGAAACTGTTTACCTTCAGTGTTTTGTGCTTATGATAATTTTAATAGACGTCAGCGTCACTAATTAATGACATTCTATTAAAAGACTGGTTTATCAAGAGAGACACTGGAGTATTTTCACCTCAAATGAGTTGATGAAGCAGAGCCCTCACAGAGCAGGTACTGTTTGGGTGGTGGATCATTCTCAGCACTGCAGTAACACTGACGTGGTGGTGTGTTAGTGTGTGCTGCGCTGGTCTGAGTGGATCAGACACAGCAGTGCTGCTGGAGTTTTTAAACACTGTGTCCACTCACTGTCCACTCTGTTAGACACTCCTGCCTTGTCAGTCCACCTTGTAGATGTAAAGTCAGAGACGATAGCTCATCTGCTGCTGCACAGTTTGTGTTGGTCATCCTCTAGTCCTTCATCAGTGGTCACAGGACGCTGTTGGCTGGATATTTTTGGTTGGTGGACTATTCTCAGTCCAGCAGTGACAGTGAGGTGTTTAAAAACTCCAGCAGCACTGCTGTGTCTGATCCACTCAGACCAGCACAACACACACTAACACACCACCACCACGTCAGTGTTACTGCAGTGCTGAGAATGATCCACCACCCGAATAGTACCTGCTCTGTGAGGGTCCATGGGGGTCCTGACCACTGAAGAACAGGGTAAAAGGGGGCTAACAAAGTATCAGAGAAACAGATGGACTACAGTCTGTAACTGTAGAACTACAAAGTGCACCTATATAGTAAGTGGAGCTGATAAAATGGACAGTGAGCGTTGAAACAAGGAGGTGGTCATAATGTTATGCCTGATCGGTGTATAATAGATGAAATATATATGTATTTATATTATATATTTAATGCGCAGCCCAGCCCTCCCCAACACTTGAGCTATGTTAGTGTAGTCCATATCAGTCTATATAATCATTTTAAGAAATGAAACATGAGTTTAAATAAAGGCATTTTTGAGTTCAGGGGGTCTTTAATTAATCTCATAGACTTGCTTATGTGTTTTCTGACACTGTATGATAAATTATCATTGAAACAAATGGACAAAAGTACAGTAGCATAGTAAAAACCGTAGTAATATCCTCATATCTTGAATTTTGTCTATAATTTTGTCCATTTTAAAACAAAGTCTACGCAGACAGTTCTCACGATGCTACTTGCTAACATAAGCTTCCATTGCTTGTTAGCTAGATTAGCCTCAAATCAAACATGTCTTAGCTGATCATCTCCATTTGGGATTAAGGGGCATGTTGTCTTTATCTGATCACCATTCTTCCTTCACGTCCACCCGTGCAGGTCAGTTGTCCATGGAGGATGTTCCCGCCATGGTGCTGTGTAAACCAAAACTGCTGCCCCTGAAGTCCGTAACGCTGGAGAAGCTGGAGAAGATGCAGCAGGAGGCGCAGGAGGTGATAAAGCAGCAGGAGCTGGCCCTCAGAGAGCAGCAGCAGGCACAACCGGAGCAGGAGCAGGCTCAGTAGGGCACACTGTGAGGGGATGAAGTGCGCACTTCCATCATGACCTAATATCACAACATATCGCTGTAGCTGGAGCCCATCTGTAATGATCCATCAGCGCCAAGCCGTTCCGCATTGTTCGGTGTTCAGTTTGTAGTTTTGCTGTTTGCGTTACGTGATTATGTTTGACATCCAATAAGCTTCTCCTTTAATGTGAATGTGTTCGTGAATTCATAACGTCCTAAACTGGAGTTGATTGATGACAGGTGCAGTTTAGCTCCGCCCACCCACACTGAAGTTATAAGGAGTGTTTCAGCTGGGTTGATTTTTGAATGGTGCACAATAGAGTCAGCACGTGAGCACAGAGCTTAATGGGCCTCATTCACTAATATCTTAATATTAGTGTACTATTAAGACACTAATACTAACTAATATTAAGTTTGTTCTTCAGAAAAAAATCTACATCAGGGGCCGTACTACAGTCTGAGATCTGCTTTGTTGTCATGGCAACTTCAGTTAAGACTGAAGTTAAGGACAGAAGCCATTACAGAACAACAGTTGTTAAGTCTGTAATCTTGTCTTATGTCCAGATAAGAAAACCGTTTTTACAGAAGCATCTCAAGTTGCCAAAATATCCTAAATATTTTCTTAACTTTAAGATAAACCCCAGATCTGTCTTAACTTCTGTTTAACCGTCTGTTTCTATTGTTTTATATGCAGTGATGGGCAGCACAGTTCACTGTAACCAGCATAATGACGCTACATTTATCTACCCTGAAAACTGCTTTGACTTTGACAGTGTTTAAGAGCCCCAGACGCTGCAGACACGACCTCCACCGCCCCCCCCTTATCACCTTTGTGTGTTAATGTTGATGATAAAATATTACAGTGATGGTGGTGAATAATGAGGAGACAGAGCTGAACGTGTGTCTGTTTATTAGGAGGAATAACGTTAGCGCCCTCGGCTAAAGCGTTTGGGGAAATGGAGACTGAAACTGAGAGCGGCGACTCTGATAAACAGCACGAAGCGCTAAAACAATATTCTTAACTCTCAGTTTATCGCGCTTCAGTTTTGTTTGACCTTTTTTACCTCAGTAACGGTAGCTAACGTTAGCTGCCTGGCTAACTAACTTGATTACGTGTTTACGTTTCAGCTGTGCCGGTATGGTCGGTTGCTAGGCAACAGACACGACAGTTGATTGTCAACCTCAATCGAGTAAGTTAAGATTTCCTAACTTGAGATGAGAAAAGATGCTGTAAGATAAGATCCTGTAATACGAATTTGTGAGAGATCTTATCTTGACCTGTCAGACCTTAAGACAGGAAGGTAAGAATTTTCTGTAATACGGCCCCAGATTCACTACGTGTTCTTAAACCGGAGAACTGTTCACACCTCTGTGCTGTCGAGTGTGTGTAGATTCTGTTCTTGACTAAGCTACTGCTAGCGTCTAGTGCTAACAAGGATATTGAAGCAAAAACAGCTCAGATCTGAGTCTTTATCCTCTACATTTACCTCAGTGCTGTAAATTTACCTCAGTACTGTAAATTTACCTCAGTGCTGTGTCAGTGAGCTGGAATTTGCTGGGGGTTTAGCCTTCTCGCTAAGCTACTGCTAGCTTCTAGTGCTAACGAGGATACTGAAGCAAAGGTAGCTTAAGCTAACAGCTCCACACATGAAAAACAATCTGTTCTTACCTAAGAACCTAAGAACAAATCCCAAATTAGAAAGCACTGGTGAAAGTCAGAATCTTCATCAAAACTGCATGAATGGGTACATTTTTTTCTTAAGGACGGTTGGTGAAGGAGGCCCATTGTTGCTGTTGAAACAAACTCTTCTATCTCCATTTTTGTCATTTATTAGTTTTTTTTTTTCAACAAAATTTGAAAATAACAGCTTTTACATGATACATTTGAATAAAGACTGAGCCAATAGAAATCATCCAACATGCTCGCATTAATTTCCATATCAAGTTATGACTGTTTTTCCTTCTCCTGTGAAGCTCACATTTTGGAGATCGAGGTTTTGTTGCGACAGTGATGACATATCAGTCTTAAACGCAGCTTGTTTAAGTCTGAGACACTAAGCTTCAGCTTAACCCAGGTTTAGAGACTCGAGCTATGATTAATCTTGCACTATCTATGCACGATCAGTCTCGCCGCAGCCACTGTGTTTGTGCTTACTGGACTAAAACTTACTATAAATAACAAAAATCTAAAGTATGGTTCGTTTCCTCTGATAAAAGAGCGATATTTATTATGTGATTGACGCCATAAACTTCACTCAGGAGAAAAAGGAGGTCTAACTCTGCCAGAGGGGCGTTTTTATGACCACTTTCTAGGGCCACTTTTAATAAAAATAAAAATAGTAGACTTTGAGAATAAAACTGTAATATTTTGAGAAAAAAGTCGTACAGTATGATATTTTGAGACTGAAAGTCTTACTATTTTAAGGAAAAAAAGTCATAATATTAAAAAAAAAAAAAGTCATAGAATTACAACATTAAAGTGGCATTAATACAGGAAATATTGTGGCCAAAGGCTTTGCGAAGGGAAGCAGCACTTCCTCGTGAGGAGGTGGTTTAGTTCTACTCTCATATCGATTTACCCATAAAGAAACACTCAGTCTCCCTGTCTCTCCTGCTCATCAGCACCAGCCTGTTATTAGTATAAGAACCGGCTGAAACGGCGGAGCAGGAAACTGTTTATCTAGAGTAAAGAGCCAGACGGACTCGGAGGAAACTGTCTGTCTGTGTTGTTGAAGGAGAATCTCAGGCAGGGTCGTCTACACGGCTATCAGGAGCTACATCTCCCCCCATTCAAAGAGGGCATGAAGTTTCACACACAGTGAGAATGATAAAATGATTGTTCCCCAAAGAGACTGGAGTGAGAGGAACTCCGGCGCCAGTACAGCAACCGAGACCCCGACGCGTTATGGCAGCCCCCTACAGTTAGCCCACTTTACCCTCCAAATATTACGACTTCATTCTCGAAATATTACGACTTTTTTTCTCCAAGTCTACTGTTTTTATTTTTATTAACAGTGGCCCTAAAACGCTGTTGTACGTTTCTAATTGGTCCAAGATCCCGAACTTGACCAGTCCTGGACCAGGTTAGCTCAAAGCTGATGTAGCCCAGTAAACAGTGATCCATTGTCTAGCGATAGAAGATCCAATGTTAGAACAAACTAAGCTTTAAGTGAGCTGGCTGAGCAAGAAATCCTGCTTCGGAAAAGACAAACCAAGCTGTGAATTTACAAACACATCCATTAATATTCTGTATAATGTCTTCCTAAAGCATTATTTATATCTGGAGATTAAGTACTTTAAATTACACCATTACTACATGAAAAGTCTGGACCGTTTTCATTGCCATTGCAAAGGGGCGAACCATCATCTATCAACAAACCATCATCTCCTGAAGATATGACTGTGCTGCATGATCAGCTACGGCTTGTATGTAGCTTTTTGTAGATAATTTAGAAACACATTTCATTTATTTTCAACACCATTTGTCCTGAAATATGGCAACGTTTCAAATATAGACATGAATATTTATCCAAAATTGTGTCCTGTGTGATTTGGATTGGTATGCAGCTTCCAAAAAATGATCACAAACGCTGCAAAGTTGGATTTATCCAAAAAAAAAAAAGATCTCTGCAGTTCTGGTTTGATGGAGTGGTTAAAAACCTGTGACTCTACTTGGAGCAGCTGAGCTGTCCACTTTACTTTATCAGCAGTTTGAAAAGATGCAGTGCTGCTTCATGAGTCTTGGGGAAGGCCTGTGCAAGCCTTCACCCTCTCAGCTTGGCAGCACTGACCTAACTAGTGCGGTATGACTGAATCGGGGGGGGGTTGGGGATGCAGGTTACACCCTAAAGTCTGCTCCAGTCATAGAACCACAGCTGAAAGATCAATCGTTTTTAGATCAGAATCACAATTAAAGACAAAAAAAGAGAGTTCTTTGCAGTTCCCCAAAAAAGATGGTTCTTTAGTAAAGACAATCATTCTGTTTAGAACCATTAACACTCAAAGACCCATTTGGTTCTCTGCATGGTGAAATGGTTCTTCAGACTGATGGAGATTGTGTTGTATATGGTTCTATCTAGCACCAAAAAGGGTGGTACTGTTGTTTACGACATCAAGCTTGCAACAATAGAACATTTTGGTGCTAAAATAAAACCATTTTCAAAAGGGTGCTCTATAGAACCATCTACAACACATTCTCCAGAACTTCTTAAGCATGCAAATGGGACATTAAGTGTTTATGGTTTTATACAGAACCATTATTCTTACTAAAGAACCCTTGAAGAACCATCTTTAAGTGTGCAACATAGCAAAAACGTAAGTTTTAAGAGGGGAAGCTGCACCTAATAAGAGCTTATGAGCTGCCTGTAGATGAGTTAGACCAATCAGAGGCAACCAAACCTCCATGTGTTGTGACATCACAACCACAGCTTACTGGCAGTTTGGCACAGTACGTTCAGGGGTCGAGCCTCAAGCCAGAAAAGGTGGACATTCTGGTCTTCTTGGCCAAAATAAACCAGGCCTGAATCTCAATTTATAAATATTTTATATGTATATATATTTTGGAAGTTGTTGGAAAATCGCAACTAGATATTTTCCCCAAATTGTTCAGCCCTACATGGTGCTGCTGTTATTATTAATCTCGTACCTGTTACCCTCCATCAGTCGTGCTACACAATAAAATATTAATGTTATCAATACACAATATAACACTGATGTGCATGTTTAATAACAGTCATGCAAACGTTTGAACAACCCGGTCAAATTACATTATTTTGTTGTACTGAAATACGGCATTTTTCTGTAAATTCTAGTGCGCATTTAAGAGTTTAGTGTTTTGGGGGAAATATATAAAACATGCCATAACATTTGCACAGGCCACATTATGGTTCTTCCCAACATGGTAACTTCAGTAAATAAACAGTAATCGTGCATTAAAACGTGCAGTAGTGTGTTCTCTGTGGAGGATGTGTTAACTCACTTTCACTTTAATCATCAAAAACATGTAATTTGATCCAGGGTGCCCAAACTTGTGCATACAACTCTATTTTTAATGCGCTGTCCACCCTGTGAATGTCACCGGTCTAAGAGAATAGGGAGTTGTGGAGTAAACAGCACAAATATCATTTTTGTGTGCCTGTTTGTTATTCAATGCTACTTAGCTGTGATCGTTTGCCCAAAGAGCATCATGTGAATGTAGCGCGACTGGAAAGAAACACCACAAACTATTTTATTATTCTTCATTTACTTCTTCACCGTTTTAAACAAAGAGTGAGAACATTTGGTAAATTTCACCCACACCAATATTCTGAAATACAAAAATATGTTCTTGACAATAGTTTTTTGCGAAATGAGCCCAATTGGTTCACATTTCTCTGTATTGCCTGTTTTTTTTGTCATCAGTTGCATTCAGTAATGACATCTCTGTTACAGCAAGGCGGGGAAAAACAAAGACGTCAGCACAGAACAGAAAGTTTAGGCCTGTAGGAGGAAAAAAGAAAAACAGAAAGAAAGAAAGAAAGAAAGAAAAAGGGGACAACCCGTCCACTGAACTCCCTTTATAAAGCTCTCATGAACACAAACGTATCGGACTCTATAAATACTGCTGACTGGAGAACTGGGAGATGTTTCCACAAAGCCAGATTTCTTTGACTTGTTTTGCTGGATAAATTAAGCCAAGGGTCAATAATATCCAGTAAGAGACGGTAAGGTTAAGTGATGTCTCTACTGCCCCTGTTTTGACTTTTGGCTCAAAGTTATCCAGCTTATATTTGGTGAAAATGCCTCTGGAGTGGCAGTGAACTCAATACAAACATGGAATGACAGTCATTTCAAAAGTGTGGCACTTTCTGGGTTAGCTTATCAGGTCACCTCGGAGGGGTGTGTGTGCGTCTAAAATATCTCCTCGTTTTCTTTTCTTTTTTTCTTTTTTTTTTTAAGCGCTTGCGTTGCTCCTCGGTCACCTTCCCCGTGTGTAATAAGCTCTACATTCTTACTGGACAGCAGGAAAACTCTACCTAAACCTGTGGGACACAGAAATGTGGTTTTAGAACAGTAGCACTGGTTTCCCCGAACGTGAGATGGCCTCTGGGTCTGTGGAGCTTCAGTAGCTTTCGGGTTTGAGACGTCCGCCGTCTCCTTCACTCACGAACCTCTTCCGTCCTCTGGAAGAGAAAAAGCCTTGGCATGAGAAAATAGTGTTGAGTTCATAGTGGGTGGTCAATATGGCATTATCATTATCAGTGAGTGTGTATACATGCACTCAATAATCCGATCATAATCGGATTTCTGCAGATATCCGATTATTCAAATGGTCATGTAAACAGCGTACTCCGATCTAAAAATCCAATTAAGAAATCTGATAAAGAGAGCTGGATTTTAGCTCAGTATCAGATTTCTCAGTGCATGTGAACTCTTACTCTGATTTACTCGCATTTCTCAGTCTGAGCATGTGCGAAAACAGACTGTGGATGTTGCGAGACTCAGCAAAACACTTTTGGAGCGGCGCTGAAACCAAACATGAAAGAAAGGATTGAAATATTCTTCATCTTCTAGATGATGTTTGTTCGTATTTTCAGGTAAAGTGGTGCGATGTTTAAAAGCCGCAGTATGAAATTTGAGTTTTATGTTACGTTTACGTCACGTCTCCTTCTGTGAGTTTATTGGCTCATTGTAAAGAAATCTGATTACTGTCTGACTCATGTAGACCTGGAGTTTCCCCATTATCTGATTACTCAAGTGCATGTAAACGTGTTGATCGGATTACTGACAAAATCCGATTTTCTGCAGTTATCGGATTATTGAGTGCATGTAAACAAAATCGATACTACAGTATGGTAAAAATATAATATTGTGATACTTTTCACAATTTGATCATTTTCACGATGTACAATGTCACAATTATTTTTTCAGACATCTGATCAGCTGAAACTGAGAAAACAAATAAACCAGTAGTGCTACATTTTTAAAAACGCTATAAAAACTAAACACAATGATTTTTATTCAATATTTGGCATGGTGTGTAGCACTAAATCCAGTTAAACTGGACTCATTTTGCTCTCTGTATAATGAAACAGGCAGCTTGTCAGTGTTTAACAAGTACTGACGATATCGGCGACATGTTCAGTGAAGCATACTGTACAGTGACATAATTTCTCAGCATAACGCTATATACTGTCATATCGTCCAACACGTTTTCTGAGCATATCGTGGATATCGTCAGTACATAAACACTGACCAACTGCATGCATCCTTACAAAGAGAGCATCATTAGTCCTGTTTAATTGGCTTTAGTGCTGTGCAGTGTGTGAAAAGCTGAACAAAAATCAGTTTTTAACCATATTTATAGTTTTTGGCAGTTTTTTTATAAATGTGTTTTAAGTATAATCAAACTCATCTTTTCCACCTAGCAAAAAACTAATATTGTGAAATGTACTGTGAAAACATTTTCAAAACTGCAATACTGTATTTTTGCCATATCGCCCACCAACAGTTTAAGGCATGTGTTTATTCTAGTTACACTGATCAGCAGCTCAGCATCCATTAAACAATGAACTTATTTGTAAATGAATACGGCTGTGTGCGCAGCGTACAGTCTACGTAGTGCTGACCATTTCAACACGTTTCCTTGTGCTTTGGAAATGAGCAGAAAAGCTGTTTACCATGGAATTCACTTACAACAGAAGTTGCTGAATCCCGTCAGTAAATATTAATGCAGTAGACTTTAAACTATGATGTAAATAAGCTTTACTGGCTGTTTCTGTGTTTAGTAAGGCTACGTTCACATTAGCAGGTTGAAGCGGCACAAATCCGATTTTTGGCCCTAATGTGACTCAGATCTGATGTATGTTTCAGGGCTGTGTGGACACACATCTGATCTTTTCAAATCCAACCTGAGCCACTTTCATATGTGGTCCTAGATCAGATATGTATCCGATTTGTGGCCATGTGACCTTAATGTGACACTCAGATCTGAATTCATGTGTTTTCTCCACTGTGCGTCACCATCATTCAGCGTTACCATGGCAGCAGCGCCGAACAGAAGTGAAAGCCTGTAAACGGTGGAAAAGCAGCTCATCTCACCTTTTTCTCCTTCGTCTCGCTCTAATAATGAAGCTGAGAGCTGATCAGAGTTAATGATCTTCTCAGCGAAGCTCGTTCTGCTCGTTGGAAAACTACACATCTTTTTTTTTTGCTTTAAATTTCATTTTTGGGACATTTTCAGCTATGTTTGAGTCATTACATTTGGATGGAAAACAAGATTAAATGTTGTGATATAAATTATGCTTAACCTCTTTAACTCCTTGAGACCACCGGTGGTTCCAAAACGCACTGTCATATTCTTCATAACTGTCATATTTAATAAGCCACATTCAAAAGGTGGGGGTCATATGAGGCTGTAACTGTCTTCTTTCCAGTCAAATAGATGGGTGATGTAATTTTAAACCCTTGTAATAAAACAAGCTGAATTTTTTTTTTCTTCTACTGAAAGTCGACCCATTTTTCCACAAATCTGGGCTATAAACTGTAAACAGATGGCGTCTTTTCAGTGATCTGATCTGTACAAATTATTTTTATAAAATAACACAAAGAGCGTCTAAGATTTTTGGCTTTCAGCAGTAAATTGTAAGCATATAGCAATATGTGTATCATAAAACATGTTCTGTTAATTTGAGGGGAGCTTTTACAAAAAAATTAATTAATTAAAAAAAAATGACATTTATTTCATGCAGTTTCTGAATAATTTGCCTTATGATTTGGTCATGTAAATTCAGATGGAAAAACCAAAATATACCCTGGTCAAGAAGCGGTTAATGCAAAAGGGGGGGCCAGGTGGATATGGACCTGCAAGGCCAAAAAAAGGTCCATTTTGATTTCAGGTCGACTTTAAATACTTCAGCAAGCACTGATCTTCTGACACTAACAGCAGCAGAGAAGACAATACTAATATGATTATTGCGTATTAAATTTACGTCTTGTTAACCTCCATAATTTTAACAAACAGTAATAAAGTGTGATTTCCTCACCGACATGGACACAGGTCTCTGAGTTTGGTATCGATGACTCCAGTGCTAAAACTCTTGTCCACAAAGTGCTCCAGTATAGAGTACGCACTCGGTACGTCAATATTAATATCAGCAATATCCATATACACTCTCTCATAGCCCTGTCGGAGAGAAAAAAACAGCATTTATTAAACAGTGTTACCCTTTTTTAACACTGTTTTACTTCAACAGTGATGCTTCTCAGACTATGACACTGTCATTAGTACCAGGATCCAAATAGCACTGTATAACCTGTAGAGTTCGTACAGCCAAACCAACACGCAAGAGTGGAATAAGCACAGAAGTCAACTGACCTCTTGTGCACAAATGAGTAAAGACCGTTCTGAATGCGCTTCTTTTGCACTGTATTTCAATGATCTGACCAGCAGATGGAGCCATACCCTTCTCATCTGGTCCACAGTGATGACTGACGAGTCAAAGAGAGATTTCAGGAGCTTCAGGATCATCTGCAGTGTCTTCTCTCCTTTGGACTCCAGCACCATGACTATCGCCTACAAGCAGGAGAGAGTAGAACGTCAGGGTTTATTTCAGACCTTTTTAGTGAACAGTATTGGGGGTTTTGCCTTTAAAAACATGCTTTTTATACTGTTAAGTCTTCTTAGATGGCTAGTTATGATTATGTAGGTTAACGTGTGTCATGTGCATTCATATATTTCCCACTAAAATACTCAATACAGTGTTTGTGTCCGAAAAACAAATGAAACTATCAGCTTAGGATCTGTGCATCATGAATAAGCTTAAACCTATAACGGCCCAGTTTACCAACACACTTCAAGGGTTCTTTAGTAAAGAAAATGGTTCTATACAGAATCATGAACACTCAAAGAACCCTTTTACATGAATAAAGGAATCTCCGCATCGTGAAATGGTTCTTCAGATTGATGGAGACTGTGCTGTAGATGCTTCTATATAGAACATTTTTCTATATAGCACCAAAAGGGTTCTTCATAAGCTTGACATCATATTCTCCATCAATTTGAAGAAGAACCAGTTGATCATGCAAAAGGTTCTTTGAACCACTGAAGAACAGAGTAAAAGGGGGCTAACAAAGTATCAGAGAAACAGATGGACTACAGTCTGTAACTGTAGAACTACAAAGTGCACCTATATAGTAAGTGGAGCTGATAAAATGCACAATGAGCGTAGAAACAAGGAGGTGGTCATAATGTTATGCCTAATCAGTGTATGTATGTATGTATATATTATACAAATTACTTAGTTTATATATGCTTCTGCATTCTGGTGGATGAACAGTGTTGGCTGTGTGTTCAGTTACGGCAACGGCAGATGTTGATTTGGTGTAACATGACATCTATTTAGTTCTAGTGCATTTGTTATCATGGCAAATAGAATAGATCAGACTGAGTGATGGAAACTGAAACCGGACTTACACCTGGATAACAAAGCCAGAAATTATTACTACATTAAAACAAGAGGGGGAAAGAAAACAAGCAAAGATGATTATCATACTGATTCTGTGGTCACAGCTGTGGTTTCCAAACATATCCTTAAGAAACAAGTGGCCCTCTAAGCTTCTGTTCTGATCAGTTAACCCAATCGATTCAGGCACTGTGTAATCAATCACTAATCACCCAAGTCAGGCAGTGTTTGGTGAAAACTAATTCTCACCAGTTCTGTGTGATAAGACCACAGTCTGTCATGCTAAAGCAAAAAGCAGGCCAGCACTGTTACCTCATAAACAAACTCATGATGGAAGTGAGGGACCTCCAGCTCCCTCAGACATCGCTCCGCCTCCACCGTGTCACCGGACAGCACGTACTCCTGCAGCAACAGGTTCACCTGCCACAGTGAGGGATACATGTCTGTGAGCAGCTCTTCAACAGCAGCATGCAGAATCGGAACAAGTAGATTAAGGAGCGTTTAAGCCCGATAAGGCTGTTGTAAAGCAATAATACAGGTGGGAGGGTAATCAAACAGTTTTCTCCTTACCCAGATGTTCTGAGCCAGTCAGAGTTATCTATAACAAATGTTGTACAGTAGCAGTAGCAGCCTTTTCTACACCTGAATTTTGTCCATATTTATAGATAACACTGTGTTACACATTGTGGCTGGGATGTAACAGAATTCAAGCATTGAGAATACACAGAAGCATCTGTATTCAGTCTGTTACATTTGTAAAGGCAGTATTAATCTCAGTGTTACTGAGCTCTGCTAAAGCCTGAGTAGACTGATAAATCAATGTGATCAGTTATTAATCTCAGTGTTACTGAGCTCTGCTAAAGCCTGAGTAGACTGATAAATCAATGTGATCAGTTATTAATCTCAGAGCTCATCTCTTCAGTAGTGAACATGTTCATGACTGATAAACCTAGTATCGGTGTTGTACTGGACTCAATCATGTGTTTCATGGCAAGTTCCATATGTCATTAACTGAAAATCACAGTTACTCACTTTGCAAGATATTGTTATTGGGAAATGACTACTGGTTTGCTTTGTTCACAAGACAGCTGTGGAATTGTGGGAGCAACAGAGGCCTGAAGCAGGTGATGAGAGCCAAAATAATGTTGCGAATTTTGTAACTTCATTTCATGCCTCAGGAAACATTAACAAAAGAACTGCATGAAGAAAACAACCAATGAGTAACAGCGAGGGACAGTGAATGAAGTACAAATTAGAACTGCAGAGTTTTTCCATGTGCCTTATCAGTATATTCAGCCATCACTGAAGTCTTTCAGAGATTACTGAAAAACGACGCAGTGGGGTTTCAGTTTCTATTACTTGTTTGCACCAGTGCAAAATAAAAGAAGCACAGCTTCCAAACGTGTCTCGGCTGACTGACTACATTCAGAGTGAAGATAATAATTACTGCTTTAATATTACTCTTGCTTTATGTACTGCCACTGAGCGCTGCGGTCTCGAGGGTGGGTTCTAACCTCTTTGATGAGCTGATTGACAGGTCTCTGGCCGCCACCTGAACCCCAGAGGTTATCGATCCGGAGCCCCGCCTCCCTGCTCATCTTCAGCAGGACGGCAGCGCGGTCTAGAGCGGCCCTGTCAAGCAAACACACGGCAGTCAAACACAGAGCTGTGAACTGAACAGAGCTATTAAGCAGGCGCAAAGCTGTTCGCCAAATCTACCACATTATTAAAACCAGTTGATTAATTGGATAATAGCTGGAAATACACTGTATGTCCAAAAGTTTGTGGACACCTCGTCTTATTAGTGAATTCAGCTGCATTAAGGTCACTCACTGCTCACACAGGAGATCAAATGCACACACAGCTTATATGATCTTCACAGAAAAGCACTGACAATAGAACAGGAGGATCTGGAGTAGCCACACATGAGCCTAAGGTCACCATGTCCAGTGCCCCATGTGGGCTAGAGGGTTATGAAGCCCCAAGCGTTGAGCTGTGGAAGTGTGTTCTCTAGAGTGATGAAGCTCCATCCAACACCTTTGGGATGAGCTGGAGCGTCCTATCTAACATCAGTACCTGATCTCACTAGTGCTCCTGCTGCTGAATGCAATCAAATCCCACAGCAATGTTCCAACATTAAGTGTAAAGCTTTCTCAGGAGAGTAGAGGCTGTCACTGCAGCAGAGGGGGAGACAAATACCCTTTTAATACTCGTTTTTTGAGGAAACAGTGTGGTGTCCACAAACTTTTGGCCATACTGTATATAGATATAATCGTTTGTTATTAGCTTTATTAATTTACGCACAGTTTTTTACTAGCTATTCTAGAACCTCCAACAAACCCGGTGTGCGTTTACCTCGCATGCTCACAGTCCACCCTTCCCTTGTATCCTTCGATGTAGTTTTTGGTAAGGATCTGATCCGCTACTGCTCTGGCAATGAACTGGCCGACCAGCTACAACAAAAGGAGAAATAAATAAATAAATAAATAAATAAATAAATAGTAAGAAGTCCACACAACACACCCCATAATAAGCAGAAATCAAATTAGACGGCAACTTCTTAGTGTACAATGATACACCAATGACAGCACTGAGTCAGCTTTGAACACGTTTAGCAGTTTGTTTACATTCTGTATGAGGGTAGCTGCGACGGCTCGAGAGCTTCCTGCTGAAGTCAGTTCAGTCTCAAGGCCTGTGGTTAAACATGTGAGCTTATTTCACCACAATTCCAGCCCAAAAATGAAAGAGAAAGTTACACACATGAGTTTCTGTTATGGAACAGTTCTGAAATGAAAGTAGTTTTTCTTTTTTAAATGGCATCTTTAATGGTATTAACTGACAAGTTGACGCAGAGGTATTTCCACATAGCTACTGTAGTTATTCATATATACAGGATCAAACTCATGTTTTTTCATATTTTTTTCATATAGTGTGGTGTGGAATAGAAGATTTACACAGTTTTGAATATTAGTCATTTGTAACAGTTTTGAATATTATTCATTTGTAACTGTAAATATTCCAACAAAAAAGTTTTAAAATGCTGTGAATAAGCTTTAATACATTGGGTAGACTGTTTAGATCAATGGGCAAAAGTCTGAGACCCTTCATTTATGAAATGGCCATTAAGTAGAAGTTACTGAATGTTTAGGAGAAAATTCTGAGGAGATTAGATGAGATAATCCACTTGCATAAGGAAAGAGAAAAGAAAGTCCAAAAAATGATTACAAAACCTCCTAACAACCACCTGGAAGACCTGGTTGACACCAACACTGTCCCCATCAGATAAACAGCACTTAAAGCTTTCATCTCTGAGACAGAGGAGAAAATCAAGCTGCTTCAGATCTGAAAACATCCACAGGTGTTTCTGTCCATCCTTCCACTGTGAGAAGACGACTCAGCGCTGTGGGTCTGAAAGGATGTGTAGCTGTTCAAGAAGAACCTCACTGAGAAAAGGAGACAAACACACCAAACAAAGAAGCTGAACAATGGACTGACCACCCCAGAGTCCAGACCTCAACACCACTGAATGTGTTTAATTACTTCAGAAAATGATCAACCAACTTCTTAGACTGAACTTTGGAGGTGTGTCTGCAGGTTTCTGTGAGAAACTGAAAGTGAGTCTCTCAATGGAAGCTGTAATAAAGGCAGAGATACTGAAAATACTGCCAAGTGCTGCTCTTTGTAATTTCTACTTTTTAAACCTGATACTGAAAATTGAACGACTTTCACTTCATTCTGACTTGAAATTAAATAAATGAAGGTTGGCCTTCAGCACAGACTGTACGTAGAGTGTGAGTGTAGTCACTTCAGACAGCACCTACAGCCTGTGGTTAACCATGAGCTTATTTCACCACACAGAAACTTGCAAAGAAACTTAAACAAGTTCCTGTTACTGTAGAGTCCAGAAATGACTGCAAAGCTTTTATAAAAAACCCCAAACATAATTAACTGTAAAGGTGTGAACGTGTGGGGGGGGGGATTTCCAGACGACTACAGAACAGCAAATCCACATCAGTACTTCAGTGAAAGGGTGGAAAACAGTGGAGGCAGCAGTTTGGTTTAGTCTAAACCATGTTGTTGTGGGCCGCTTGCCCTGTTTACTCAGACAGAGAGGGTATGACCGGTGGGGCTGTGTGTGTGTGTGTGTGTGTGTGTGTGTTTGTGTGTGTTTGTGTGTGTTTGTGTGCGCGCACGAGTTTATTTCTGTACCTTTTTTCAGGACCAAACAATTTTGTAAAGTGTTTTTACAAAAAGATCCGTATTTCATTTCTTTAAAGCTGAGAGTAAAACCGTTTATTTTTGGTTACTGAGGTTTAGACGAGTGTTAGAACGATCTTATTACACAGAAATAATACATACAAGACACATTATTACATGTATGTGTGTGTGTCTAAACACGTGGAACATATGACTCCTGAGGTCCTTGGATATCGTAACACACGTGATCCACAATATACATACATAAAATACACATGAAACGCATGTAGGACTCCACGTCCCGACACTGTATAAAAACTGCTTTGTGGTGTTCTGTTCTTTGAGCCAGAGGCCCCGAGAGAAAAGAGCTGCCACTGCTGTTCTAGTCTGAACAAAACCAGCTCAGCACACAGAACTACTGTCCACAAACACAGAGAGAGATACAGAGGTAGAGAGAGAGAGAGAGAGATACAGAGAGAGAGAGAGATACAGAGAGATACAGAGAGAGAGAGAGAGAGAGAGATACAGAGAGAGAGAGAGAGAGAGACAGAGACAGAGAGAGAGAGACAGAGAGAGAGAGAGAGAGAGGGAGAGAGATACAGAGAGAGAGAGAGATACAGAGAGAGATACAGAGAGAGAGAGAGAGAGAGAGAGAGAGAGAGAGAGAGAGAGAGAGAGAGAGAGAGAGAGAGAGAGAGGTGCTGTATGGTCACTGACTGTGTTTACATGCAAAGATGAACTGAAAACATTCCGATTACAGATTTAGACTGGGGTGTTTATTCTCACTCTACTCAACAATGTGGTGGAAAATCTCTTTACATGCTCACTACAAGCAATCAGATCCAAAATTATGCTCATGCATAGAGAACCACTCAGTGTAGACGTTACCATGACAACGAGCATCACGTGTGTCCAGTCAGAGTGAGATGAGCAGCAGTGAGCAGTTTCTGTGTTTTTAATGACTTTAAAATGATGTCAGACTCAGGAAAACGTCCTTCACATGTCCTTATTAAAGGAGGCCGAGAGGAAGACGTCGTGTTCTGAGACACATAAGCTGGACGTCCGTCCCACCGCCGTCTTTTAAAGATCAGAGCATAAACTTCGTCTCCTCTGCAGACCAGTTTCTGCTCCGCCATGTTGAACGGTATAAACTTTCACTATGACGAGACGAACATGATCAGAACGGACTTAAACTTTCCGATAGGGAATGTAATCAGATACAGGCGTTTACACAGATATTATTCTTCTATTTAACAGATTATTTACAGGATTACCCACCTCGATCAGTCGGATAGAAACTGTATTCCGAAAGGCCTCAATCGGACTAGTCTGAGGAGTTTACATGGACGTATTCTATTCCGATTGAGCTATTAATCGGATGATTAACAAATTATTAGGCTGCATGTAAACGTGGCTACTGATTCAGGGAAGGTGGAGATGGAGAAGCTCTTTACGCTTCTCCTTTACTGTCAAAAACAAACATATCAGAGACAAATACTTCAATAAATTCAGTAACGAAAAGCCTGAACTCCCAGAATCAGAGAAACTAACAGTGTTATTAGGAGAAGCCAAAATGCTGCTCTAGCAGGCAGATGAGGAGTGCACCAGCCTGAGAGAGTGAGGCCCTGCACAGGGAAGGGCTTGGCACAGGGAAGGGTCCGGCACAGGGAAGGGTCCGGCACAGGGAAGGGTGGCACCATCAGCGAAATGTAGTGAAATGTATATAGTTAAATAAACGTAATATTTAGTGCATATAATACAAACCACTGTTAATATACATGGAAATAAATATATTAGATATCTTCGCGAGAGATGAAGAGAGATACAAAGAGAGGGAGGGCGAGAGACAGACAGACAAAGATCAAAATGGAAATAAACCCACGCAAGGGGCCTCATCATCATCGTCACCATCTCCCCGTCTTCCTGGAGCAGCAGACCTTCAGCCACCACGCTGTGGCCTGTAGCAGAACAGACTCTCAAGCCTTAGAGTCCAAAATCCTGTCTGAGTTATTGACAAACGCGCTCAGATACGTGGAGACAGTCAATAGACAGCTATTATTTTTATTATTAGCCTTATTATTAAAAACTCGAATCTTACTATGATTCAATTTAATCCTAAGTATTTTATTCATTTCTTTATTGTAAAAAATGAGCACATATTTTAGAGAATATCATTCTAATTTATTATTAGGGATGTGCTGATATGGGAACTATACTCTGTGACATTTTACATGTTCATACGCACAGAGGCCGTTATCTAAACATTAACAAGGGGTGGAAAAAGAAGAGGGGGTTAAAGTAGGAGGGTGAGAATGTAAAGCCTGCAAGAGTGAGACGTGTGTGTGTGTTTGTTGTAGCTGCAGTGCTGATTTTGCACTCTGCACACACAGACAATAGCAGAAGCTCCAGTGAAACGAAAAGGCTGAAAGAGTCTTCTGAACAGACTGCACCACAGCAGACCCCCCTTCCCCCCCCCCAACACACACACACTGGTGTTTTTCCCCTGTTAAACACACACTTCAGTCACGTCAGCAACACCACAGCAACATCCCCACTGAGCAGAAAGATCCAATGATCTCTCAACGCTCAGCCACAATGCATCACTACAGTGCACAAATACTCAGTTACTTTAGTACTTTTTTAGTACTTTCTGAAACCAATTACAATACTATTACAATACTATACCGAATAACCTACGTAGAATTAAGTAGTTGTTTGTGTAAATGAGTGCAATGTATCTTAAACAGTTAAATCATTCAAATCCAGCTGATTTTGAATGATGTGCGTTAGCTGGCTATGCTACATTAGCTACATTTTGCTCAAATAACACTGCAGTGGAGAAGAGCAGGTCAGAAAAGCACTTCTGTACAGCCGTAAGTAAAGTATGTTTCATAGTTTTGATCCTCATTCGTCTCTTTCAACAGCAGCCTCTGTAGCTCAGTGACAGCAGGAATCACATCTGATTCTGATGCATCTGAGGAGCTCACGTTTCCAGTTTTACGTCTTGTTGGTGTTTTTTGGCTGCCTGAACTGTAGCTGGATGTCCTCTAAAGGCAGATACTCTCAACTGTGAATACACCTTTACTCTGAACGGCTCAACATGCTTACACATTAGCTACACGCCAACAGTTGGCAGGAGAGTTGATTCTTAATGAAAAAGTTTCCGTCTGCAGTAACAGATACACATTTATCTGGTTATGAAACCCCTTAATCAGAGAAGAGCGGATCGGCGGGATAAGACGTGCAGTGCGGTGATCGTGGTGTTTTTACCTGTGGTGCTGTGGGCGTGTCGAGCACCAGGTCCGGCAGCTCCCGCAGCAGCTTGTGGAAGGCGTTCTCGATGTCCGAGCGGGTCAGAACCCTCCCACAGAGCCAGCTCAGCAGGCGAGAGGTCAGCTCACGGTGACTCGATTTAGACTCCAGAGCCAAAGACACGGCCAGCAGAGGAACATCACTACGCATGCCGCCCAAATTCAGCTCCCCCAGTAACTCCTACACAGAGAGAGAGAGAGAGAGAGAGAGAGAGAGAGAGAGAGAGAGAGAGAGAGAGAGAGAGAGAGAGAGCAAAAGACAAAAACAGAAAAGAGAGACAGACCAAGAAAAAGAGAAAAATAAGAGAGATAAAAGAGAAAGAGACAGAAAGACAGAGATACAGAGAGAGGCAGACAAGGGGAAGAGTTAAAGTTATTCTTAATCCTTTGCATTTGCAAGAATTGCAAGTACATTGCAAGCAATGTACAGGTTTTGTTATTGTTAATAATAATAATAATAATAATAATATTATTATAAACGTCTGATCTCACAATGATTCTATTACACAATTTACATCCAGAATTGCTGTGTACTCAACTGTAACTGGAAAAAAAAACAGTTTTTGTTGGAAAAAAGATAATTTATTAGCATTTTTCATAAAATCATTTTTTAAAAACATTAATACAAACTTTACTGAATAGCATTATAATTATTTTTGAATTAGAGATGCCCCAATATGGGAACTGCTGACCAATGCATGTACATATTTGCAGAGGCTGATGCATAAACAGTATTAATTTCGCCATATCAAACAGAAACATAACATGTTGGGAAACAGTATTTTATCACAGTAGCCCAGGAGCTCAGTCTGCTCTTCTGGAGTAAAATTAATATGTGGTCAAATATCGCTTTGAAATGTAAACATTTGCAGCCGACAACTGCAATTATCTGCTGATACTGAAGTGATTCTTATATTACTGTTCATCTTTACTGTCCAGCGTTCATCTTTACTGTCCAACGATCATCTTTACTGTCCAACGTTCATCTTTACTGTCCAACGTTCATCTTTACTGTCCAACGATCATCTTTACTGTCCAACGATCATCTTTACTCTCCAACGATCATCTTTACTCTCCAACGATCATCTTTACTCTCCAACATTCATCTTTACTCTCCAACGATCATCTTTACTGTCCAACGATCATCTTTACTCTCCAACATTCATCTTTACTCTCCAACGATCATCTTTACTGTCCAACGATCATCTTTACTGTCCAACGTTCATCTTTACTGTTCTAATATTTCAAAATCTGTGCAGTTGAATCAGCATTTACAGACCCCTTCATTACGATGCACTGATGCATTTGTGCAATCAAATATCATCATCACCATCACTGATATAATGATTATCATCAAATGTTGTCAGACCTTTCCATCACGCCACGCTGAGTCTAAACGGCAGGATTTACTTGTAAACAGATTACAGATGAGGTGAGAGTCATAAACAGAGCTCATCCTCACCGCCACTTCGTTAGCGTCCCCGTGCTCAAAGTACTCCTGTACGATCGGCGTCACCGTCTTGGTGAAGGCCTCTTCGTCCAGCGGCAGCACCACGGTCTCGTACACACAGTTCTCCTGCAGGGAGAGACGGAGAGAGGGTATTACACGGGGGACGAATTACAAACAGTTCAAAGAAAAATATACACAGTGTTGTTCCATTTCTAATCCCTGCTTAGTTCAGCCCTAATAAGAAAAATACTTACGAACGCTAAAGATTTCCATCACACGAACTGCGTACGTAGATGTTTAAGGCGAAATGCCGACATCTATCAGATCGGAATCGGATGTAACACTATTAATGCTTTGAACAGCTTGCAGAACATAAGGATTTAGGGCCACTGCAGCAAACACTGGCTGACCGGTGATGCAGTCTGCAACCTCGATGTCAATCTGAGTGAAACTTAGACAGAAATCCTCTTTATTCATTCGGAATTCAGTGCATTAAGGCTGCACTAAGCTTCTTCTTTTTCACCGACAACGTGACTGTGGCACCATTTAAGGTGGAACGGGAAAAGTCAAACAAAAAGCTGAGAAAATGTCCTCAGGAAAAGGTTACCAGCATTAAAATAATATTTAGGATATTCTGAGAGCTGAAATCAGCTGATCAGGGGGTGAGCAGTAATACTGGGTCTGTACTGGATCAGCCTGTGTGCAGATACATTTGTACAGCTTTTCAAATCAAGCTAAAAGGAAAGATCTACCATGTTTCAGTGAGCATCAGATGAAGAACAGAGAACCACAGGGAAACCTGCTGATTTTGTTCTGACTTCTTTTCATCGCCCTCAGTCTGAACATGGAAATGTACACTGGTAAAACCTGCTTAATGAGGCTGTCAGTCTGATGATGTGAATTCAGTGCGCAGTAGCTTTAGCTCACATGTAGCAATATTCATATTTCAACGCTTTAACGACCTCAAAAGTCAGAGGATCCAGAGAAAAATGTTCACAGGACAGAACGTGTCGGGTTCTGAACATTTTTATTTAACACAGGGGGCGATAGAGGCGATTTTTCGAAAACCCTATTCATTCTGGCCATAGAGAAATGGAGCCGACTACAAAATGGCGGCACGACTACAGTGGTTTATGATGGCTGGTAAAAGCTGTTTATAAACCATATCAATAAACTACTTTAAAATGCTTATTACTTCAACACCGTACCTGATCCTCATCATAATTGGGGTCTCGTACGTCCACCTCCTCCTCATCGTACACCTCTCCAGGTGTGCCCCACACACCTTTACCTCCAGCTCCACCTAAAGGAAAAACACAGATGAGCAACAGTTTAGTCACTCCATATAATAGGTATGTCAAACTGGGGACCTTCCGGGCCAAAGCGCTGTTTACACCCTCATCTAATGCTCCGAATTCAGTTCATGAAGGCCTTGCTAATTAGCTGATGAGCTGAGCCAGGTGTGTTTAATGAAGCAGTGCACTGAAGTCTGCAGTGTTTTGGCCCGCGCGGACTGGAGCCTCACGCGTATCGTGATTATTATTACTGATTATTAACTGATGTGTGTTAATTTCAGTCAATTTCGGTCAGTCATTAGAGAAAAATGTTACTAGATCCTTTATTCCATGTTTCAAGTATTTTGGGAATGATGGGAACTTATTAAACAAAATTCCACCAATTTTTTAGAAACATAGGCTTGATACGCTCACTAGATCTGTATGTAGTGAATCAGTACAGTTCAGTATGTAATATTTTGCTTGTGTATTTTATTATTTTCTTTGAAACATTTGGCACATTTAACTGCATAGATTTATATTACAGGGTGATTCAAAAAGATTAATCTGGTTTCAAAGCGCCATATTTTTACAACAGGCGTCTAGGAACCAATCACAATTCAACTGAAAGAGGGGGTCATAGAGTTTTTGACTGTCAGTGGAAGATGGGGCCCCCCCCTCAGTCTGTGAGGAGATGGAGACCCCTGAGCAGAAAGCGTTCTGCGTTCTCCACTTCAATAAGAGTGAATCCATCATAACGTGATTTTCGTGGGCAGTGAAGCTCCAACAGCTCAGAGCGTTCGGCGTTGGTTACACAACACTGGACGATCTCCGAAATCGCACTGAAAGAGCCGTGAGTACAGAGACACCCGACATGCTCAATCGAGTATGGGATGAATTACGTTGATGTCGTCCGTACAGCTGGAGGAGGTTCATACTGAGCACTTGTACAATTACATCATAAACTTTATGCTCATTTAAACCATTTACAGTTTACTGCATTGTTCTGTAATGATTCACAAGTGAAATAAATCATTTTTAAATCAGATGAATCTTTTTGGATCAACCTATATTTGAAACCGTTGACACCAGACTTCTGAGCGGTAACGAAGCAAAAGCTTTCAGGGCAGTCGGTCTCAGTCTGAGCCAGATCACAGCTTACTGTTTAGCTGCTTAAGTGATGTTTCCACACGCAGCATGTCAGCACGATTTAAAGCTGCTTTAACACCATCTGACACGCTACACACACACATCAATCAGCGCACAGTGCCTGAGTGTTTGTGTGCATGCATTTCTCTGGTAGACTCTGCACACAGCCGCTTTATTTCCCCTCCCAAACGCAGCAGAGGACTTTCGGTCTGCCTCACTGACTCACTGACCCTGTCACCCTGTTATGTAACAGACAGGAGCAGCACTTACAGCTCGGCAGAATTAAAGGAACATTACAGCATTTTACAGAATCTGAATCATACCAGCAAATATCACAGACAACAACTCGGACGCCTTTCGCTGTACTTTAAAATAAAACTCCTATCCAAACTCACATATAATGGAAGTCAATGGGCAGTTGCTGCATTCCATGAATAAACTTTTGAAATGACCATAAACTAATTCTGTAGACTGAAAAGCAGCTGAAAGATTCCTTTTATTGTCACTACACAGGATATAGTGGAAAAAAAAGCAGTCCAGTTTGTGCCTCCACACAGAAAACTAAATAACAAATATCCAGAAAAATAAATAACCTCAAATAAAGTGTCTGTATGCGGTCACTGCACAGCAGGTTACTGCACAGTAACAGGTAAAGTATTGGACACGTATGGTGAATTACAGCAGTATAGAGTTCTGTTATAAGGTGCTATAAGATGTTTACATGTATACAGATGGACAGTGTGAAAGAGAGCGGTCACTGCTTTGTTTCAAACATCATATCCTCTCTGCACTCATCTCCGCTCTCAGTATAATCTCAGATTATAATCAGTAATCAAACAGTCAGACACAAAGAGCTCAAAGAATACAGCCTGTTTAACAGCTGCAGTCTGAAACCCAGACTTACAGACTCCACCGACTGAACCAACACTAACCTGACCACTCAAAACACAGGAAGGATCTGACCTGAATATTTAAATGAAAGAAAGAAAGAAAGAAAGAAAGAACGAACAAATGAATGAAAGAAAGAAAGAAACAAAGAAAAAGATAAAATGAAAGAAAAAGAAAGAAAAAATGAGAAAGAAAGAAAGAAAGAAAGAAAGAAAGAAAGAAGGAACGAAAAAGAACGAAAGAGAAAGAAAGAGAAAGAAAGAAAAAAGAAAGAAAAAGAAAAAGAGAAAAAAAGAGAAAGCAAAAAAGAGAAAGAGAAAGAAAAAGAAAAAAAAGAAATGCATCTACTTCTTCTAAATGCACACAGCGCAGGTAAAGGTTTTCAGTGTTTATCTGATTAGTGGTGATCAGTACTGATAAAATTCAATGTAACTCTACGACTCCTGCTAAAAACCTGATGTGGCTCGTTTTGAACTGTTTTCTCTTCTGCTGCTTTTAAAATTACGGCAAAGGGAATCTTACACAGCACTGCAACACAAACACTGTTCATACATTTACACCTCCATACATTCTGCACAACTACTAACATCACTGGGGTCGGAATAAAACCTCGTATCTCCATTTTCTTTTTCAGTTTTTGACATAATTTGAAAATGCCTGTTGTCCTTTACATTGTGTGTAAATTTCATGATGAATGGACTAAAAAAAACGACCCAGAATCCATCCATCCATCATCTAAACCGCTTATCCTTCTGGGTCGCGGTGGGGTGCTGGAGCCTATCCCAGCTGTCATTGGGCGGAAGGCAGGATACACCCTGGACAGGTCGCCAGTCCATCGCAGGGCAGACAGACAGACAGACATACACATTCACACCTAGGGGCAATTTAGCACGTCCAACTGGCCTGACTGCATGTTTTTGGACTGTGGGAGGAAACCGGAGAACCCAGAGGGAAACCCACGCAGACACGGGGAGAACAGGCAAACTCCACACAGAAATGACCCTGGTCAACCAGCCGGGAATCAAACCCAGACCCTTCTTGCTGTGAGGCGACAGCGCTACCCACTGCGCCACCGTGCCGCCCCACGACCCAGAATGACCTGGAAAAAGTCTGGTTCCATTGACTTACATTAAAAGTAAGGTAGGTTTTGTCCTTCTCCTTTAAAGTTACCTTTCTGGAGATATAAGTCCCCTCGACAACAGCGATACATATTCTCTCTCTCACAGAATTTCAGTTTTGGTGTAATTTCTCTTTCAAAAACAAACTATATACACATTCTCATCTCTCTCTCTCTCTCTCTCTCTCTCTCTCTCTCTCTCTCTCTCTCTCTCTCTCTCTCTCTCTCTCTCTCTCTCTCTCTCTCTCTCTCTCTCTCTCTCTCAGACAGTAATCAGATTTCTGCTTTGCAACCAGCCAATAAACTCACAGAAGATGTGACCTAAACGTAATGTACACCTCAAACTTCATGCCACGGCTTTTTTTTAAACATTGTGCCGCTTTACCTGAAGATATGAACAAACATCATCTAGAAGATGAAGAATATTAAATCCGTAATGTCGTATTTGGTTTCAGCGTCACTCCAAAAGTGTTTAGCTGCGTTTCGCGGCAACACTATTCGCTTATTTCTGGTACCGCCGTCTGTTTTCACACATGTGCAGACTGAGAAATCCGAAAGAAATCAGAGTAAGAGTTCACATGCACTGAGAAATCTGATTACTGAGCTAAAATCCAGCTCTCTTTATTGGATTTCTAGATCGGAGTATGGTGTTTACATGACCATTTAAATAATGACCATTTGAATAATCGGATGACTGCAGAAATCCAATTATGATCGGATTATTAAGTGCATGTAAACACACTAAATGATGAAACACCTTTATACCGGTAAACATCCCAGCCTCCCGACCTGCACTTTTCAGTCAGATGATATTTTTACTTAGAAATTCAACAAAATGCAGGTTAGACACTCAACAGAAAACACACTTCTGCACATCTTAACGCACAATTTAATTTCAGTTGCTGATAGAAAAGATGTAGCACATTTAATATGTTTTGATTTATAAATAAACAGTAATTCTGCACTAAAACATGCAGAGAGTTGCCATATTTAGAGCCTCTGCTCGCTTCCTGGCACTGAGACTGGTCTGTAAGCTGGTTCTGCAGGGCACCCGGTTCAATTTGGTTCTGCTTTGCTGCACTGGCAGCATGTGGAGCCTTCGCACAACCTCTCAGAGAACAGTGCTGAGTCTACACTCCCACAGATCACCACCGCCCGGCCTCTAGGACGTCCTTTATCCCTGAAAATCTGATATTTTAGGACCTGTTCATTCGCAGAATGATGCACTTAAGGCATTTTAGTTCATGCCGTCTCCTCTCAGCAGCTTATAAAATACCCTGAATACCAGCATCTTAATCTGAAGGTACAGAATTTAAAAACAGAGCTGCACAGAAAGAGATTTTTTTTTGTTGTTGATACAGATGCAATATTTTTATGTGCATATCTGCCGATGTGGACTAAGTCTAGCTGAATTAGCATTATAGAGAAATAACATTTCCTTTTATGCAGGGTTAAAGGTTTACAAAGGCAGTAAAATGAATACAATGCGGATATTTCATCACCGTAGCCCAGCATCACCTCAATATTCTGCTCTGGAGTCCAACAAATATATCAGATATCGGTTTGAGATATTGGTCAAAACTAAACTTTGTAGCAATTATACTGATATGATTCACACATCACACATCATCTGAAAACAAATATTTTCCCACAGCATCTGTCTCAGAGAACGCGGTTCTATCAGCAAACAGCCCTCAGTATGCATTTTGTTACAGGAACGTGAATCAAACATTTTGGCTACATTCACATTAGCAGGCTGAAGTGGCACAAATCCGATTTTTTGCCCTACTGTGACCCCAATGTGAGCCACTTTAGCTATGTTCACATTACAAGCCTCTTTGCTCAAATCCGATTTTTTGCTCAAATCCGATCTCT